TATATAGCAAAAATTATTCATCTTTTTTATCGACTTTATAGAACTGGTGCATGCCTAACCCTAGTCTAAATTCCTGACGCCGCCACTACTTGTAACTATGTGCTTTTTTTTCTTGAGCAGCACCAGTACAGTCCAGAGTATCTATTAGAGCAACCAAAAACAGATGATTACAGGTTTTCGCGAATACTTAGACATCCGTACACTTCCAATTTCGAGCATACTTAACTTAACCATCAGAAATTTATTTTTTCTTATAATTTATTTTTTTCAAAGGCAATTTTTTCAACGGTTGCACCATGTTCATATGTTCGTGGTCATCTTCGTAGTATGGTGAATTTTTCATCATTTTTTGGTCAACGTTCGCGTAAAAATAAAAATGAAAGATTATTAAATGAAATTGAAAAACATATTTGTCTTAAAACAACATCAGCTAATAAACAACAATTTAATCTTGATTATTTACCTTATTTAAGTCGAAATCTGATATCAACATTAAAACAAAATACACAAGAAATAGCTATTGAACAATGTATTTCATTATTAGATGATTATTATCTTAATCGAGATGATTTACAAACAATTATGGAATTAAATACATGGGGTAAAACTGGTAAAAATTTATATGATCAACTTGATACACAAACGAAATCTGCATTAACAAGAAATTATAATAAAACAAATCATCGTACACCATATGCAATAGTTGATATTAAAAAATTAAAAAAATCGAAAGGATTTATGGATGATGAAGGAGAAGAAGAAGACGAGCAAGAAGAAGAAGAACAAAAAGATGATATTCCTATTGAAGAAGATGCTATGATTAAATTAGCTAAAAAACCAATAGGAAAAGTTCCGTTAAAAAAATCACGAAAAAAATAAATCGTTCTTTTGAACTGTCTTTTTTATACATGTAATTGACATTTTGTTTTATCATGAGTTTAATCATATATGACGCCTATATTTCGTTATGCTTGATTGATTTTCTCATGTATAATATTAAAAAATATTTGATAGGATATGATTTGTACGCTAAGGTGAATTGTGTTTTAATGTTTTTTTAATTGTAGATCATGTTATTGAACTGGAAAGAAGAATTTATATGAAAAATTCATTATGACTTCTAAGGTAAAACAAAAAATAGAAATTTTATAGAATTATAAATTGAATTTCTTTTTTTTATATCAATCAGTTAGAAGAAAATCAAGAAGATATGGAAAATACTTTATTAAATCAAGATTCTCATCCAGGTGAGATTGTTATGTATATTTAATTTTGTTTTTTCTTGTTTTTTTATTAGGCATTTATATTTTATTTTCGAATGAAAGAGTATTAAAATAATAACTAATAATGCTTTTTTTTGCTATTTACTTTTTTAGTGTGTAGAAAGAGACGATCACATTTTTTAACTAAACTAAAACTTAAACAAAAGGAAATGAAAAGTAGGAGTAATAAGCATGGATTGAAGTGTTAAAAAACCCGCATGAAAAGTTTTAAATAGTTTGAAACTAAGAATTTTCTATTCTTTTCATTCAATGGCGACTACAAATTTGATAGTCAAATTTTACCCAGGAATGAGAGGTATGTATGTTTATAGAAAAAAAATTTCTCTATCGAATCGTATATATACCATCGAATTCTGTTGAGTACCGTAAAAATCGATTTTTGGCTTGAATTCAAACCAGTTAGAGACATGCATCCAACCTTCTTTTGTGTCAGTGAACCTCAATAAAACATTGATTTGAACCCTCATAATACACCAGTTTGTAGAGAAAACATCAGAGAACAAAATCTTCACCTAAAAAAAAATTTAATATAAAAAATGAATTATAGGCAAGTGATTTCGTTGACTCCGATACAGGTCACTAATTGGCTTGAATTCAAGCCAAAAATCGATTTTTACGGTACTCAACAGAATTCGATGGTATATATACCATTCGATAGAGAAAAATTTTCTCTACAAACCTACATATTTCTCATTCCTGAGTTAAAGATTTGTAGTCGCTTTTCTATTAATAATAACAAACAATAACACTGAATGATATTTGATACAACGATTAAATACTTCGTCTTAATAACTAAACCTTCCGACACATTCGAAGACGCCTATGAAAATGGATTTATTTTCTATGGTGTCTCTCTGTACATGTTAATATCTAAGTCTCTGACGACATGCGATAAGACTTATTTTATAAAATACTCCTCATATGTTTGAGAACATATCTCTTTTCGCATGAAGATGTCAGTTGAAGCAATTCTGTTTATATGAACTATGCCTCAACATAATCAACTAACTTAAATAGCTTTTACAGAAAAAGGTTCCATTTTCTTTCTTTGAATTATATAGAAGCCCGGATAAAAGTCTTTTCTCCTCATTGTTTCTGTACTATCGTACTTTGCATGAAATTGATGAGCACATAAACATACCGCATGATAGTTTTATTGGAGTTAGATATATATTTCATGTGCAAACAAAGGCTTTATAAAGACCGAATGTCAGCTTGTTTTCATTTGTATTATTTGTGTGTAATGATGCATTTAGTCGAGGTACAAACTATCACTAGATTATTGTATGTTATTATTCGTATCAGGTTAGACAAAAAGAAACGATATTACCAATGTCAAATATTAAATTTATCCTTCTTGTCGAAACAAGGATAATTTCATATCTTAATATTTTATCTTTAATTTTATAGAGACTAAATTATTATCGAATAATCCGAC